AGCACTTACCACTGGCTTCTTCTCTGGAGCGTAGCTGTGTGACCCCGGGAAAGTGACGTACCCTCTCTGTGCCCTGGTTTCTTTCTCTGTAATACTGGGCTAGGGCAGCGCTTCCTTTGTCACAGAGTTGTGCCCTCCTTCCTGGATAAGTAAGCTGTAAAGCTGGCAGTCTTTAGACCCCATCTGCACGTGGTACCAGCTCAGTAATGTCTGTCATTATTCCTCTGTGATTCCTGGCTGCACTCTCGGCTCATGTGGATTCCTGCTCGCCCACAGAATGGCCGTGGTGGTTAGAAGTCACCCGTGAACTGACCCGGGGAGGCATCTTCCCCTGGAGAACACAGTCTGGGTCCTCAAGGTGCCTGGAAAGTGCCTGGGCCAACAGGTTCCCATAGGGAGATTCTTTGGGGATTTGCTGGGCTCTGCAGCCAGGAGACCTGGAAGTCTGCCCAGAGCCCAGTGGGGGGGCTCCCTGGGAGCTTGGGGGTGTCACTGCCATCCCCAGAGCTGCCAGGTGCAGACAATAAACCAGGGAAACCCTGGTGGGTGAGTCATTAGTGGTCCCCAAGGCCCCATGATGGGTGATGGCAGGCAAGCTGCTCTTGGCTACTGCTCTTGGGGTCTCAGTGCCACCATTCAGGAGGGTTCCAGAGCCCAACCTGGTGGGTCCAATCCCTGCTTCTGGGTTGGCCTCTGCCCAGCACCCAACACTGGTTCCAGTGGGTCCCAGAGGTACAATGACCACCACCAGCGTTGCCCCCGCTTCCTGAGGCTGTTCATAGGGGATGTTGAGGCTTACACGGGGCTGCTTGGAGGTGGCAGCATGCACTAACTCCGTGGAGGGCTCTGATGGCCTTCCACAGGAGCCCCTGGAAGGTGCAGACCATCTGTCACTTAGGACATATTTATAAGAGAATGACAAAGGGACCCAAAGAGCAGAAATGTTGGCGAGGGGGAGGACACGGGCGGCGGGATTTAGATAATGGCAGACAAATGCAGAGGGGCTGGAAGGAGCAGGGGCCAGCCCCTCTTGGCTGGGGGACACAAGCCTTTCCCTCCTTCTAGTCACCAGCCCTCCCAAGCCCCTTGTCCCAAATCCCCCAGCCAGGGTTTGGAATTGTGGCACCAGGCTGACTGCAAAGACTGTGTCAGTCAACCCCCCACCCCCAGCTTCCTGTTCCTCTGTTCCTCTGTCCAGGTCTCACCATGCGCCCCCACCTCTGGGCCCTGGAGAGCCCAGGTGTCCCCCCCCCATACCCTGGGCAGTGGCTCGGGTCCCCTGCTCTGTGCTCCCAAAGCCCCAGGCCTCCTACCAAAGCACTTGACACTCTGTCCTGGAAATGTCCATTGAGCCCATGTCTCCCACCAGACTGTGGCCTCCTGAGAGTGGAGTTGGTCATTCTGGTGCCTGCTGGGTGCCCAGGGCCCAGTATGTGCATGGCACACAGTAGGTGCCAACAAACTGTCTGCACAATGAAAGTGGATGTGTCTGTGGGGAAGCTCCTGTCCCCAGAGCTCCACTGGGGGCTGGCTTCACCCCCCACCCCCACCCTGCTCCAAAGAAATCTCTCTCTCCCTGACCTTGCCCTGGTTGGCCCCGGTGCCCCTTGTGCTGGAGTATGGATCCAGGAAGGAACGGTCCTCCAGATCACCCCATTTTGCCCCGGGGGAGGGGGAGCCCACACTGCGGGCCTTTCGGCAGGAGACATGGGCTCCTGCTAAGAGGCACAGTTGTATGTTGGGGTCAGTCTCCTGACTTCAACACTTAATCTGTGTGACCTTGAGAAAGAGCTTAACCTCTCTGAGCTTTGGTTTCCCCTGACAACGAATACTTATACTAAGAGTAGCTTATGGGGCGCCTGGGTGGCTCAGT